AGGTATATTGAATTATGTCGCCGTGAGGGGGTTTTTTTAAGGCTTATGCAGGATGGTGCACCAGGCCATGCTGCAGGAAATACCACTACTGAACTTCAGGAGAGAGGTATTGATGTTATTTACTGGCCCCCTTTCTCACCTGACTTGAATCCTATTGAAAAAGTATGGCATATTATGAAAAATTACTTACAAGATAATTTTCCAGAAAATATGTCATATGGGTGTTGATATGGGAAAATTGGCCTAGACACCTTAAACCCGGCTTTGTGTAATTTGAGTTTTAAGTTTGCATAGCAACCAAAGAAAAATTGTAAAACATAAAAATATTGAATGCTCTTACATGTAATCAGTATTACAAAATTCTATATAGCAGTCAATTCTACTACTAAAAATTGCTCTTAAATATTTTTCTGATTGCTGAAAACTCAGGCTACATATCTATGTAAAAAAGATAAAAGTGTGAAATCTGAAAAAATCAAATTCTGAGTCTATAAATGCATGAATTTTCTCGAAAAATATTTTTTAAGATCATCAGGAGGGGCTCTCTAATCTCAAGAAGTATTGTATGTGTTGAGACAGGTTTGTTGCATTGGGAGAGTGGGCCAATTTTCGCATATCAGCACCCATATGATAGATTAAGGGATGCAGTTAAGGAAGCTTGGGGAACAGTTGGACAGCATGAGTTTAGAGAGCTGATAGAAAGTATGCCTATCAGATGTCAAGCGGTTATTGAGGCAAATGGTCTCTTTACAAAATATTAGATATGCACGAGCAGAATTGATAATTCAAGATATTTTCTATTGTTGCACTGGCACGGAACTGACTGCACACCACTATCTCCTCTCCAAGCCACTATGCCCTATTTGTTGCACTAACCCCTGCCTAACCCCTGCCTAACCCCTGCTGTGTAGCCCACCCCTGCTAGTAAAATCTACAAAACTTATACGCTGTACCTCCGTACATAGGGAATTTCTGAAATTCCCTTTGCGGATGCAGCTGTTACCAGTTAAAATATCCGTCGTTGTTTGATGGTATGAGGGCAGGTTCTAAGGGCCCGACCATATTTGCACCCCAACCTTCGCCTACGAGTACGATATGCACAAACAACCGCCCCACCACACCTTTCCTTTGTGAGATTTGCACTTCCGTACTGTGATTACCATACGAGTGCCGTACTCATACCCATGCAGTACGGTACTCCCGCTAAAGAAAAAGATCTCTCTCCAATTCACGGCGGCGCATCGGACCGACACATGATGCTCATCCTTCTCTCACTGGTCAAGATTATCATTACCCACAGTACGAGTACTATATACGAGTACGGTACTGATAGTACTCGAGTATCAGACACCGATTCGAAATCGTACTCGTCTCCCGCACCCGTACTCGTTGCCGATCCACACAGCGGCAGCGTGGGACGACGACCGGTAGGTACGCGAGTACTATACGGTGGAAAGCACCTAAAAGTGGGACCTCCGATGAAACAAGAATTGCGTGACAACCGATCGGGCCGATCGGGCCGGGGCCAAAATGAGTGTAAATAGCAAAATAAGAAATGTAAATAAAATTGAATCTAATATACAAACTGGTAATTTTTTTTATATTAAAGAAACACGCCGGTGGCTTTTATATACAACATCAGTAAATTGCAAAGTTCTATACTTTAACCTATCATTGTAAGCGTTGAGTGTATGAGTACTTTTCCACCAGTATTTGAGGATTAACAGAGAGGATATATCTTCTAATGCTTTAGGAACAGCTTTTACAAGTGATGGCCAATTGTGTTGGCAATTTTTCCTTGTTAACCACTTTGCTCTTCCCCATCTGTACTCAATCCAGTTTAGTTCACAGTGAAACTTTGAAAAGAAAAGGCAGAGATGACCACGCCCTTCAATCTCCTCCTGTAGTCGTGACTTTTGTTCTAAAAAATCAGGCTGAACAGAAAGCAGTCTTCTGGCACAACATGAATTTCCAGTATGGTTTCTATCCTCCTTTAACTTTTGACTTCTGCAATCATGTCATAGGCCATTTGCGAGCCATATTCCCTGCCCCTGAAGAACTCTCTTACATCCTTTTGGCATTCCTCGCCAGTTTTCAGGTATAGACAAATCATCCTCATCAAAGCTCATCTGTTAAATCAGGAAGGTAACTCCATCAGGAATATAATACCAGCTGTCTTGCATATGAGGTTCCGTGTAACGGACAAGGTCCAAGCAGGTAGTCCCAGGCACGCCACGGCAAGGCTCCAGAGATATGAATAGGTTCGGCATCCCACCGGGGGTCTATACTTCAGGGTTCCGGCATCCCACCAGTGGTCTAGGCAGAGGGTCCGTGGTATCTAAGGTGAATCCGGCTTATTGGTGTGTGGCCAAAGAGCGAGGTCCCAGGGGTCCGGTATTCCACCGGAGGTCTAAGAGTCAGGACAGGTTCCCACCTCCGAGGTCTAGACAGATGTCTGGTATCCCGACCGGA